AACGAAACTATGTGTTGTTGTAATACAAAGCTATAAGCTCTATTATACATGCAAAATGCAATCTGTCTCACTGGCCTCCAGTTACACATAAAATAGAAAACAAGTGCTCACTCAGTTTTGAAAGTGTATGATTAGTCTGGTAATAGAGTGTCCTGCTGTTCCTGAACTCCATGTTAAGGCCTAATTCTGGTTCCTTTATATCGTGTAGTCGTTTTTGTGCTCCGAGGGAAATACTTTTTATTGATACAGGGTTATTGAAAATGCCTCTATATTTTAAGAGAAACAAAGAAAAATCTAAGGGGCATAAAAATATGAGAAGAGTGATTATTTAGTGTTATGGAAGATTTTAGATTCACAGATTACCTTGAACACACAGCTCTTGGAAAGGATGATTTTCTGCAGGCAGAGAAAAGAATTAGTTTTGGCCACCTTACAGAGGCAGACTATGGGCAGTGTAATAAAAGTTCTCTTTTGTTTGAGATTTTTCTCCATGTGATTTAAAAATCAGTGGGAGTTATTTGAGATTTCTTGATTTATATTTTATTTGCAAGTTTTTAGAGGCGATAGTATTATTCTATTAATGTGAAAATGCAGTAAGAGTTCTTGGAACTCCACTTTCTAATGTTTGAAATTGTCTGAAAAATACTGGTTTGAAGATGGAAGCATTAATATGCTAATTTTCGGTTAGCCTCGTTGACATACGAATCATTTAAGGAAGTGTAAAGCCTAAAAGCTGGTGACAGTGCAAAAAGAACAGAGTTAGGATATATTGGAAATTGAAGGACTTCCTAGTAGGTGTGGCTTTTAGAAGATGTTCAGAAGATGTAGAGCAGTTCAATATGACTTTGGTGGGAAGTTATTTGAAGTATTTTCCAGACTTTGACATGTCCTCAGGTGTGTGTATGTCTAGAAAAATTGAATCGTGGCATCCAGTTTCTTGTTTGGTTTCCCTGCCCCCTCTCAGAGGGATGCTGTCCTTAGTCTGGCAGTCCAAATGAGGATGACTTAAGCATGCTCTAATGTTGGGATTTGCTACAGCCCTTTGAAATAATGCAGAGTAGGATGCTGGCATTCTTCCTGCAGTTCTTCACTTGCTTTTTATTATATCTTTTTATGAATAATTAATTATTTTTGTAAGAGCTGTATAAAGAAGACATTGCCTTGTGACTGTGAGTAATATATAACTGGTAATGGAGAAAAGGTCATGAATACACTGTTTCCTGCCAGTAGTTGCCTTCCTTTTGTTTGCCTTGTTTTCCATCTTTCTCCTAATTCTGTAAGATTATAGATAAGTTGCTCTCCTAGCTTCTTTTGAAAGATCTTGCAAATGTGGCTGGGCTACATGATAGCCCTTTCCTTAGCTCTTGCGGAGTTAGTGGAGCATAGCCTTACAGTGAGCATAAGAGAGGATATAGCTCTCGCAGCTCAGTAGGTAATTCTTGGATTATGTCTTGGATATTGCCAATAGGAGGGCAGTAGAAGGGCTAGTTAGATTAAATGATTCAGTCCACTGCTTTAACAGAATTTAATTTAGAGGAATAGAACTATAATTGTCATCATTCTTGGAAGCAAATATTTTTTTCCAATAATGATTGTTTTATTCAAACTTATATGCATCTTTGAACCACGATCAAAAATTAACATTTCTTTATTATTATAGCATTATTAAGCTGAGGAACAAATACAAAATAAAAAAGACAACTTACAAAATTTTGTTCTTAGTAATAAAAATACACAGGAAAGTATGTCCAGCTCTGTTTTCTTTAGTAAGTTTAATAAACCCTGTAGTGCTTTTTATTTTAAATAATTATGGAAAATAGATTTGTTCATTAACTTAAGCTTACTTATTAAGGATTTACTGAGCCGGCAAAAAGAAGCATGTTCATGTGCAGAGGATTCAGTGATTTGTAACTAGTCAGTTCTGTTGTGATAAAGAAAGCCAAACCTACTCTCAGTGATTTTACACTTTTCCCTTTTTTAGTGGTTAATGAGTGGGAGAGTTTTGAGGCAAAATCCTAATGTTGCCCGTGTTATTCTTGTATGGGTAGTTTAAAAATATTTGCAGCTTCTTTAAGGGTGATGGATCATCTTTCAGCATATACAATTAGCATGGGGGCCAGTCTTGACTCATACCAATATAGTGTTCCCATATGATGTCACAATGGAGTCCCTACCCTGACCTTTAATTTGTGGTGGCTTTCAGTCAAAATGGGGTGGGAGGGCAGTCTATATTTTAATGTTTTTATTCCTATAATTCTAAACAGCTGTATTAAAAAAAAAAAAAAGTTTTGAAAGTTTAATCTTAATAATCTTCACCCAAAAAAAGCAGACACGCTATGTCATAAAATAACTATTAGTGACTAGTTTGTATCCTATAAATCTAACTTGAGTTGATAATATGGTCCATTACCAGCTAACTGCGCAGAGTATTTTTCATTTTACACTCTTCAGTTACTTTTTAGTGAAGTGTTAAAAAATATGAAGCTTTTCTCCTCTCTAAAATTGCACACTGTCTGTCTGTTATTAGGGAGATAACAGCTCTTATAAATGTTTCAGTAAGCGTTAAGTAGACAGTTATGTGCACTCTCATTCCACGCTTATTTGCTTACTGTAATAAACTGATAAAATATGTGTGGTTTGTCTCTGTGTATCTGCAGGCATCATGAGTCACATAGATTTCCTTTAGAAATAATGTTGTGTCTGCAGAATTGATTGGTTATTTTCATAAACCATCCAAAGGTACACAAACGACTTCTATTGTTTAAACATATGCTGTGTAAGATTTGTAGGGGATTATCTCCTGCTTACTAGATGCTACTTGTTCTATTAACTCTGGAGGATTATTTTAACCCCAGAGTGATTGCAGGTACCTGTTCTATGGGTTTCCCTAAGTATTGCAGTTGCGTGCATTAAAAATTTTAGGATTAAAACAAAAAATTCCATTTACCGAGCTGATGCAACTGTTAAATATATTGCATTACAGGCACACCAACGTTTGACAGCTCAGAACGCTTGCTAGCAGGTAGAGGGTTTGAGAATTTTCATTTTCCGTAACTGAATTCCTTTGTTCAGCATATATACATTTTATTTACTTCTAGTGCTGCCACGTTAAATGCAACTGCAAATTAATGGTCTGCAGGAAGGAAGACGGCTTAAACATAATGTCATTATTCTGGCTGTCCTTAGTATGTTTGTTGCTCTACAGTGTAGTAGTGTAGTATAGTATTGAAAATAAAAGTCAGTGAGCTCAACAGTAAAATAGCTAGTGTACTTCAAAATACTTGTTCTAACATGAGTAAAACATATTTTGTAAGCTTGACAATGAAAATGTGTGAACCATTTCATGAAATAACATTTCTAGTATGCAACTCCAGCTCAAATTGAATTGAATGCTAAAATTTAAATTCAAAATATGATTTAAAGTACACCTTAAAATTTAAGCTTTATTCATTATCTCAATAACATTTTAAGTAACAGGTGCTAGTGTGACTCTGCCAATAACCTCTTACTGGTATTGTGTCTATGTATCAGTAAAATGTTTGTTACTTGAAGTACGTTCTTTCTTATTTCCTGGCAACTAAGTTGTTTCTGAGAGTTTGACCTTGCAGTTATTTCTGCAAGTCCAAACAGAGTATTAATCTACTACAGTCTGGGGGTTATATTCAAAGATATTTTGTATTTTTGAGGAACTGCAAAATCCATACAGTTTGTACTTCGTCCATTCCTTTTGCATTAGCGGCAAACCTAGTCATGTGATGTCGTGTGTCAGGATTTTTTAAATGTAGTTTAAAAGCAAGCTACATAAAGTAACCCTAATCTTACATTTATACAGATAGAATGGCACTGGAGTAAAAGATAACCTGTCATTATGAGGTTTATAAAGTTTCACTTAATTGTGTTATTGGACAAAAGTATTGGATATTTTCATGCTTGTCGGAGATGAGCAATTGTAGGGAAGGCCGGATAAAAGCCCATTCTCCTTGCTTTGCTACTTGGAGTCTTGCATCCTGCTATTTGCAGTTGTCTTTTTCACATTGTTACACGTTCAGGGCTATGGGCAGGGCAAGAGAAGATTGACACTCATCAGTGGAAACAGATAAACAGATATATCTAGCAGATATACTGTAAAGTTCAGTAGCTCACAGTGCATTGATCAGAAAAATTGGATATTTTCTTGTGCTGAGCGTCTGAGTTTTTCAGCCTCATTGGTCTGTTTGTGCGGTATTACTTTTCATGTAATTTCCTCGTCTTTCCTTAAAACTTGTTTAGAGAGTTCGAATTCACTTTTCTGCAGTTTTCTGCATATTCCTTACTTCTTTGCACTTCTGAGCTTGTGATGCCAGATTTCCTTACGAGCAGTATCTTATGGGAATTTGCACACTGAATGTCTTTTACTCAGGCTACTTCTTCAAGCATAGAATGGACCCAATCTGAAGAGTTTACTCTTACTGCTTGTGGCAGCAAGACTATTAAAAAAGTGGCAGTTTCCTTCTGCTCTGTACAGCTGTACTTTCAGTATTTGGTGTAAATGTTAGGCAAAGTTTTTTGTGGTTTTAACAAGAGAAGGAAAAGACAATTTCTCACTGCACTTTCACAACGTAAGTCACTCTCGAGTTCTGATGCACAGAATGGAAAAAGACTTCCACTTAGAAACCATGTAACTATTTAAGCTGGAACTCTAAAAAAAACCCCCGATAATTTGGTGGATACTTATAGAGTTAAAATATTGAAAATAGATTTATTGCTGCAGAAACTGAGGCAAATAGAAGCAAGCTAAAGCTTCTATTTCTTGGCACCAGAAATGTTATTTTTTAGGTTCTGTTATCTGGTATCTGTTACTGCAGTTTGTTTATGAGTTTGAATATGTCCTTACCTGTTTCTGCTTCACTAAAATTCCTGCCAGAAAGCAGGTGCTATGACTGAAAAGTGCAATGTTTAGTTGTCATTTTTTTCTGTTCTTCACTTAGAGCATTCGCCACCTGTTGTTTTGTACTTAACAGGTCACTACACAAGTCTCTGTGCCAACAAAAACACATGAACTGCTTCATCGAATGAGTGGAAAAGGATTATCAGCTCATTATCACTTCTCAAGGCAGCCAGGCGTTTTTGGGGATCGTATGGTGTCTGTGCAAGTGACATTAACAAACACAACTGATCAGAAGATAGAGAATATTCACATCAAGGAGAAGAAATTACCTCCAGGAATGAGGATGCATGAGTTTAATCCCATAGGTAATTATACCCTGTCCTTTAAAACACAGAATCTTAAACTTTTGCAAAATTTTAAATACAGGAAGGTGGTTTTGCGTAGTCATACGTATACTGATAGGTATGTGTGTATGCACATGTATAGATATGTGTGTATATATGCATACACACACCTACTCCTGCAACTGTCTTTCGATAATCTGATTCTAACAAAAATTTAGTTCATCTTTCTTCCACTTGTGTTTGAGTCCTAAAATAACTCCTTAGATCACAACTTGCCTGCGTGAAAGTTTACGTGCTTTTTCTAATACCAGTTTTATTTTTATTATATCAATTCCAGTTGATATAATGATTTTTTTCTGCCTCCCCACAAGCTTTGATTCTCTTGAAGCCTTAGTCCAGAATGGGTATATAATTATTTATTTGAGTGGCTCAGAGCATTCTCATTGTTTTGCTTCAGAACGTTTGGTAGCGGAGTGAAAGTATATGTTTCAGTCTACTTTGTGTCTACCACACTTCCACAAAGTGTGTTTTCTTAGACCAGATGGAAGACACTACTGTAGTCAGCCCTAACCTAAAAGGTTTTACTTTCAGCCTTCTGATCAGGATGGTTTTTTGCTAAATTTCTGGTAGTGGAAAAGAGTAGAAAACCTGAGAAAGAACACAGATCTTAGCAACTTCTATTTAAGGATAACACCTGTGCACACAAGCTGCTTTCGTTTCTCAACAGAAGTGTCCTTGTTTTAGGACGTTGTGATATAAGCAGAAAGAACTGAAGTGTCTCTGTTTCATAATATAAATGCAAAGGACACACGCTCGTTTTTGAAACAAGCGCCTGTATTTTAGATGTGATTTTTCTCCCTTAATAAGCTACGTAATTATGTGAATCCATAACAAGTTAGGTGAATACAGAAACAAGTTCTTAAAGCACAACAGTGAAGTCAAGAGTATTCTTTGTTTACAGTAGCCAAAAAGAGGTTTGGTATTAAATTGCTGTATGCTATTGAAATACTTATTTCTTAACATTGAAAAGGCTATGTAGATTTACATGAAATAGCTACAAAAGCAATTGTACAATGCTACAGTTTATTTCAGAGTTAAAATTTTGGAACTATTTGCATATTGATGATGATACATATTTTATCGGTACAGGTACTTTTAGGAAAGATGCTATATTTTCTAACCTGCTTGGTGTTTATTTCTCAAGAAGACCAGCACAGAGTTCTGATTTCAGATTCGTTTTGACTGTCAGCCTGGTTTTATATCCCTCCCTTTAAACATTTAAAGAAATAAAGTTATGAAGGCTTGCAAGTAGAAAACTAGTAATACTATAAATCAGATCAGGAAATAGTGTACTCACGGTAACAGTCAGTGAAGAGTACCATTCACTTCTTTCACATAAAAACCATGAAAAAAATCTGGAATTAGTAAGTTATCCAGTTCAGGTTTCTTGAGAACTCACACAAGACAGTCCAACCCTTTAACATATTTATTTCCTGAAGACAGATATCACTGTGTTCTCTGTCCTGTGAAGCTGTTAGTTTCTTACGCAGAAAATAAGCTATATATGATCTACAGTGCCTCCCAAAGATGTTACTGTCCTTGCTTGAATGCAAATTTTTTTGTATTCTTTGGTACTTTTTAATGTGAGTTCAGTTCGTATGCCCTGTTCTTACCTTTGTGTTTCCAGCATTTGGAAAACACATCCTGTAATTTTCTCAGAGGTACCAACAGAGGAAGTGCCAGTGTAGACTTTTTCTGCTGGACTATAACTTTGGCTCCATCACTGCAACTGCTGTTGGAAAGTGTCCTGATTTTGCCCGTACAAATGGGCCAGATCATTTCACCTAAGGCCCTGCGCACAGTATTTTCTTGTTGGCTAAGTGCCTTTGAATCCCCATTTGGAAACATCAGGCTCAAAGACTTTGATAAAGTTTAGTCTGAATTGGAGCTGGAGCCTGTAATCTTTTGATGGTTTAAATGGACTTCTTGAAATGCATTGTTTTCTATTCATTCCCTAGCACTAGTTTAGTTTCCACCTAAGTGCATCACTTCCATGTTTTCCACATTTTTTAAGAACTTACTCTAAATATAGTTAACATTAATTTCGTTTTGTCATAGAGCAGCTGCCCACTCTTCAATTCCTAAAACCATCAGATACATTAATGAATAAACTGGAATTTAGACATTTTTCTTCCTTCCCAATAACTTTTATTTGAATTAATCTCTTCTAACTGTCCTTTTAGGTTTTCTGTCAAATTCTGCTCCAATGCTTGTTGTTAATACTTCTACTGATGTAAAGTAAGAGCTTTTTTCCTACCAAAACAAAGTCTTATCTCTGCAAGATTGCGGAAACAGTATAGGGATATATAGCTAAGTAACTAAAAATAAGCATGTCTCTTGATACCTTAGTAGGAGAAGTGCCTCAGTCCACACCGCCTGTAAAGCACAACATTATTCTCCATTTTAGGTTCTTAATCTTTCTACTCCCTTCCATAACTGATGTACAAACGTTTGAGAAATAAGTAAACCACACTAATAATGAAATATTTTAACCTCATCTCTTTTTCCATCACTGCGTGTAATAATGTAAATGTTATTAATATTTGGTTTAGTTTACTATTTATTAACTAAATTTGCAAAGTGTTATTGAAAATGAAATCTCAGTGCTGGATCTGTATAAAAGGATATCACGTCAGTGTTTTTTTTCTTGTAAATAATTTTCCTAACTTTTCTAATACAAATCCTTTTTTTGCTGGTGACGGGACTGTAAGATTGAAATGGCAACATTTCATGCACACTAACTGTGGGGAGGGGAATTCAAGACACTTAAACCTCCAAGTGTGACATTTGAGTGATGCCTACTTCAGATAAAACTACAAGTATTGGCTTTTTTCCTGTGGAGCTTTTGTATATATATATATGTATGTTTTCTAATTATGTATGTGTGTGTGTATATATATATATATGTTTTCTAATTATGTGGTTTGGAAGTTTGCATCTGGAGTCTTCTGTTGCTTTGCATGTGTACTTTACCTGTTCAAAATGTTTCCATGTAGAGTGCCTTGAGCCTGCAGGATCCATTACCGTTTCAATGGGTATTGACTTTTGTGATTCTACTCAGACGGCCAGTTTCCAGTTATGGTGAGTTCTTGGGGAGAGAGGGTATTGTTTTGTTCTTGGAAGACAAAAGCAGTGTATATTGGAAGTTTATTTTGCAGTAGCAAATCTGCTGTTTATTAGCTATTCAAAGAATCAAACAACGGTTTGCAACATGATGTTTACCCAAGATGTTTTTAGAGAATTAAAACATAATTAGTCTTTGATTTTACAATTAAAAGGATTATCAGTGTTCTTCAGTCTTCCAGATTTTTTGGCACTTGATTCTGAAATCATGAATTTGATGGTAAGCTCAAATCTGGGTTTGAAATCACGTATAGAAGGTCAAAAACTTGTTGACATGTTGTGTTTGGGAGGTCCTGTTTTTCTCTTGGTGTAAATGATACCAAGCAGAAGCATGAGCTCCATTACCAATTCAGAATTACTTCTCTGTTCCTGAGCTTTATTTTTTTCCCCTCTTCTTGTGATTATTCTTAATAACACCCATCTTGAAGGGAGCAGTCAGGTCTGACTAATCCACTGGAGTGTTTTGAGCATGTTCTTCCTTGTAAGAAATCACAAGTCAAAAAAGCGCGTAGTGTGAGCAACTTTAGTACCTCGAGTGCTTATTATGGCTGTTTAATCTATGTAACATGACTGCGTGAAACCAACCCCAAAATTTGCTGGCCAAAGCAGCTTATTCCTCACGCTGTAGACTTTTTTTAAATTATTAGAGAGAGAATGAAAACAAGTAACTGGCTGGCTAACTAGATTTTGTCTTATATACAGGATTTATGCTTTTTATGCTCATTATTGCCACATTCAAGATCCTTCTTTGTATGAGTTCCTGTTGCATTCTAAGCTGCCGGGGAACCTATTCACCCAGTACAAACTCTACTATTATCATTAGGGGCGAATGGATGGGGGAAAGATAGATACCTTCTTTTTACAGCTATTCAGCCTTATATAGTGATTGAAACTATGCAAAGGCACTAAATTGATCTGCAACTTTTTTTTTCTTTTACATATTTTAAAGTAATGTTTTTGGACATATTTTGTTGCAAGAAGTGCTACTTTCTATACAGTGCACAAAAAGAGATATTGAGTAGACATTCACATTGCCACATTCGAGTTTAGGGGAAGCCTTTTGAGAATATTCCTGTACCCCTTTCTTGAATACTGTAGAAGTTTAAGGATACTTTACTAGGTGCTGCAGCTTGCACAACATATTAAACATAGCAGGGAAAACTGTAATAATAGAGAGTTACACAAGTGATTCCAAAAGAACCACTGCTAAAATAGAATCATAGAATCATAGAATGGCCTAGGTTGGAAGGGACCTTAGAGATCATCTAGTCCAACCTCCCTGTCATGGGCAGGGACGCCACCTCTCGACTAGACCAGGCAACACATGGGGACCGAGCGGGAATCGAACCCGCAGTCTTGGCGTTGTCATTGTTGTCAGCACTGCGCTCAAATAAGATTCCTTGTTCTAGGGGCAGACAGGTTTTACTGTTAGTATTTGTTTTCCACTCGTCAGACCTTTTTCTTTTCAGTGAATGTTCATGCATAGTCATTTTAAAGGTGTTATTACATCCAGCAAGATGTCTGCAGTATGTAGTTTGTGCACATCCTGTTGGTCTCTATGCTGTTTACTGGTATGTGGAAACAGCTTTGGACTGTTGCCTGATGCTAGGTTTGTTTGGGAAGGGAAGTTCCCTTCTAGGCAGTGGCATTTCATAATTATTTCAAAATCATAGAATCATAGAATGGCCTAGGCTGGAGGGGACCTTAGAGATCATCTAGTCCAACCTCCCTGTCATGGGCAGGGACGCCACCTCTCAACTAGACCAGGCAACACATGGGAACTGAGCAGGAATCGAACCCGCGACCTTGGTGTTGGTCCTTGTTGCCAGCACCGCTGCTCAAACCACTGAGCTAACCGGCCCCCTAAATGATGAGATGGTGAAGCTCAGCCTCTGCTATTAACTTTCCCTAACTGTATTTTTTTTGTGGTTTTTTATATGAAATTTTTTTCATATGGTAAGTTTCTCAAGTAGGAACATCTTTTATAAAATAGAGCAGACATTTTTCTTTCAAGCATATATTTTCAGTATACTAATGTTTTGATTCAAAACTTATACCATTTATTGCTAAGAATCTTAGCAGTGATGAGGATAAGCAATGTAGCATAACACATTGATTTTATGCAGATCATCACCTTTATGTTTTGGGAGGTCTGCTGTATTAGTGATATATAAAAACTGATTACTTTCTCCAACATTGCCTAGTAATTGTTTATTATTTTCCTATTAGACAAACAAGACAGATCAATATTCCTGAACACCAACCAGACTATGAGTAACATCACTGTAAATAGATTTGCCTCAGACCTCAGTGGTGTATTCATTTTAATGATTTGGACAATGTGAGTCCAATGACAAAGCTCAAGCTAAGTTTAAAATTAAATTAAGAATAGGAATTGCTTACTTTGTTCCTTTGCTAATTGATAGGGCCTTGTCTCTTTGACACTAGTTCTTAGAAAATAGTATAAAAATAAATTAAATGTTCTTTATATTAAATTTGCTACTTAGTGTTTAAAATACAGATTGTCTAAAATCCTAGCAATATTCAATATCACTGAAAAAATTGTACAGTGTGATGTTTTTGGGAGTTCAGACAACTCAGCTGTGGTCTTTTTAACTGGTCATGCTTCTTAAAAAGCTTTTATCCAAAAGGAAGAATGACTTGTAAAAGTTTGACAAAATGTATTCGAAATACTGTGCGCACAATTGCATTGATATTCTTGTATTTCCTGAGAACGTATCTTTATGAAAGATATTGTCAGTTATTTTGCATTTTTGTTAGAAGCATGTTCAGCAGCAAAGCGTTCCTGATCATAATCATTTTCTTTATGTTGTTCTAAGAGGAGCACTTTGTCTTGCATCAAATGTAATTGATCCTGAAGCAATGTAATCACAATTACTCACTTTCTTAATTGGCCTGCCCAAAATCAGAAAATGGAAACCGATCGGCAGCGTTTAAATCAATAGCTTTGTAGTAAAGCTTGTGGGGGTAGGGAGATAGTGGTAATGGGTAGATCAATTGGTCTTAGATGCCAATCATGGATTGTGTGTTTTGCATAGCAAACACTACCTTTCTGCTTGAGGCTGTTCTGTTGTAGTAGTGGTTCAATAAACGCAAACTGTATGAAGAAAAAAACTAACATGAGTAATAAAATATTTAGATCTCTTTTTAAATTTGTTGTACAAATCAAGGACACTAAAGGAGAAGCTGCATTACGGAGAAAGGTTTGAAGGGCTGGGCTTTGAAAGACCTCACTTGTAAATACCATTTTTATTAAGCAAAGCTTACCAAGATCACACATCTAATTAAAAAGACGTGAAACACCTTAACTTGAAAACTGTGCCTAATGCATTTATTTAGAATGTGTATTAGGACGCTCATACTATGTACTTGTAAGGAGAACATCTCTTCATTGCTGTTTTGCTTGTGCTGTCTTACTGCAGAGGCACACTACTTCAGCCACACTGGTGTTCTGCCTCTCAAGCGGGAAGATAAAGAGGAGTAAATGGAGAAAATTAGTCTTTTAAAAGATTTTTGTGAGCATTACTGTTTCTTTTTGGGTTACTTTGTTCAAATTCTGCAAGAAGGATATACACAACTTAGAACTCTAAAGCAATTTGTTATTGGCTAACTCATCTGGAAGATAGTTTAATAGTTTGTTGAATCGTGATTAATCATGAGTATATTCACCATCCCAGTAAGAGACTTCAGTCTTTGCTAGGCAGGTGGGCATCAGCGACCAGAGGAAAGGCTGGAACAGATCCTTGATGTTACGAACTGACTGCAGTACTCCACTGACTGTGGAATCCTTATCGGATTTTATATATTTCCACATTGGTGTGGCTTTTTCTTGAATACTTGAGCTCCTTGTAATCGTAGTTTTAACAATCCTACCTCTATCTTTTATTTAGTATTTTATTTGTTATTTAAACTTTTATTATCTGGCATGTCTGTACTTTTGAAATATTCATAGGTCTTTATCAAAGCTTATGGGTTTCCTTAGATGTCTGAGCAAATATTTGGGAGCTTTGCCATGTTAGAATTTGGCCTTTATTACTTGAAATTAAGATATTCGAATACATAGAGAAGAAAGGCAAAGAGGGTTACAGAGACAGAGTGTTACGGAATATACATGCCTTATTCTATTTTGTGCACATTATTTACCATTTATGATTCCCATCTGCGTTTGTAAAATGCAGTAAGCAAATCGTCAGCTTCATGTGTCTGTTGAGTGACTAAAGGTGAGGGGAAGATGTCCACTTTACAACATTGAGAGATGGAGAAGGAAGCTTGTCCTTACCTCTTTTCCCTATTCTTTTCATCCTATTCTTTCCAAATTCTCTTAGCTGTTCCCCAAGCCATGAAAGAAATACAGCTTTGAAGATAGAATTAGTTTACAGAGAACCTGTTTTCTTCTCCTCATTATTTTGAAAAGTATACAGGGTGTTGCTTTACCTCTCTCTGAAACAACTTAGCCTAGGGAACGTGTCCATGCCGTTCATCTCTTCCCCTAGTTTTCTCAAGGGGAAAACATGAGACATGAGACAGAGGTTTTTACAAGCATGGACTGATTACCTTGTATTGGTGTTTCCTATGTCTCAATGTTACTAGAAGAGCTGGAACGCTGTATATACTCTTCTATTATAACACTGATAGAGAAGAAAGCTAACTATTCAACTGGACCATATAATGAAAACATTTTGCTGATTACTCCAGAAAAGGTTGATGTATCACAAAGAATCTAGTGTCTTCGTAAATGAAATTCCTTGAATCAGATTTGAAAACCTTGTTTGCAGGTTCTACCTTATCGTAAAAGCTTTTGCTTTAAATTTTATTTTCCAAGGAAGAGGTTTTTTGCAGCATGAAATTCTCTTACCTCACACTGCCTTCATGTGGGAGTCTTCCCACGGAGAACTTCTACCTGCAACAAGGAGTAAATGAAGAGGATCAGTTGGGTAGTTGTCAGTATTTGTGCTGAGTGCAAACATGCATTCAGGTGTAGATGCTTCCATAAAAGCATCTGACTAAAATTTTGTAGTAGAATATCTTATGGAATATATTAAAAGCTGATGTTAAAGGTGCAAGACTGTCTTCGCAGCACAGTCACTTGCATTTTCTATTTTTTCTTGGTGTTTCCTTCCCTAGTGCTTTGTCAGCAGACCTCCACGTTGTTTACAGATGTTGGATATTAAGACAAGCAGTCTGGTACTCTTCTCTTTACTTCTTCACTCTAAAGTAGTCAATTGACCCAGTTCCAGAAAGCAGTTATGTCTAGATGGATAACTGACTTGGAAAAAGCAAGGCTGGGCATGAATGACTGCTCTCATTTCTTCTGTCACCTTTCTTGTAAAAGCAGGATACCATCTCTTCCTTTTTTTCAGCAAGAGTATGAGCAAATTCTCCTAGACTTCTCCATTCTCTGATTTGCAGGAACCTAGTATGTGGCTCTCGCTCCATCATTTTTTTACATTATCTGTGGAGATTACAAGACAAAAATAGTGAGCTAGTTTGGGATAGGTATATTCTGGGTCAAGTAGCTACTAGGAGTAAAACAAAAAAAAAGATAGTATAAACAGCAAAAAAAAATTCCCCAGACCTTTATTAGAATATTATTTTTTTTTAAAGCCTTGGAAATTAATACTTTAAAGACTGCTATCTTGTAAGAACTCATTTATAAGTGATTATATTATTTGCATTAGTTTAAAAGATGCTACTGTCATTGTCCTCAAGTCTTTTGTTATGGCAGAGAAATTCTTCCCCAGGAACCCTCTGTAGCCAATCCTTTAAAAAAAAAAAAAAAAAAGGGAAGAGAAGTGGAATAAGCAAAATGGACACAGGTTTCACATGGCAGGTGTTTGCTGCTCATACTGCAGCCGTCTGAAGAAAAGTAAAAACTGTGCATCTTCTAAAGGATTGAATGTTAGTCTTGCAGTGTCATTTATCATGGAGATGGTAAGTCTCCCTGTGTTCCTGTGGGAGCTTTATCATCTCTCATTTGTCCGTCTTAATTGAGTACATCAGAAGATAAATTCATGTGACCTTTGGAAGTCTTTTAAAAAATATAATACGTACAGTTTAACAATTATTAAGGCAACAGTAAGAGCAATGATATCTAACAAGTTCATAATTAAATACAAAACATACTATGCAAACTACTGTTCTCAGACATCTCTATTTGTTTGATTCTTTTAGCTCTTCCTTCTGCAGATTTCTCATTAAGCATACATGTTCCACTAAGGATGTAACTTACCAGTCACACGTGCTAATACCAGAAAATGCAAATCTTTCATTTCTGAAATCTAAAAACAGTTGTTGGGTTTTTTGTCTTGAGAAACTTTGCTTTTTTTCTCATAAGCTGCTTCAGCTTGATCATGCAGGAAAGTTGGAACAGTACCACCTGAGATATGTTTCAGTGTGGCTTCAACTGCCAGATTCTTAAATGTTAATTCAAACCACTTCTGCAGTTTTTTCTTTAAACATAATTTATTAAGATTATAATATTCAAAGTATAAATAAATACATTAAATACACTGGAGTTTAGGTTACTAGGTACTGGGGTAAATCACGTAGTTGTGCAGCAAGACTCAATTTTGTTATTAAATTTATCTGTTTGGTATCCGATAAAATATGCATGTTTGGAAATGCTCAGAGCTCAAATGGGCAAGGCCCTGAGCATTGTGAACTAATATGCCCCTGGGTTGAGCAGGAGGGTAGGACCAGGTGATTTCCAGACACCCCTTCCAACCTGAACTTTTTTATGGTTCTTCTGCAACTATAAAATTACTTTTCTTAAATTAGATACTACTAGATCTCTAATATAAAGATGTAATAAAAGAGATGCAGATCAGTACACAAAAGCTGTATATTTAGCCTGTGAAGTTTGATAAAGAGATTGATAGAAGGGAGGATTATTTTCTTTGGCTGAAAAATAAATTTACTGAAGTGTGCTGAAATTAAAGTAATGCAAAGTAAACCAGATACTGACTAACATGAAATTAAGAATAAAGTGATTTTGAAGGACAGCTAGCAATCAGAATTTCTGCTTGCAGACTATTGAAGAGTTCATGGTTTATCAAAAAATATCTATCAGCGTAGGGGAAAGGGAAATGGAATGTTTGTTACCAGCAGAGGTGTCGAATGGTCCGATAGAGTAGTAACAGCCAGATAAAACCCAAGCTATGCTCATGCTTTTCTTTCCTCTTTTTGTGAAAAGATTGTTAGAAGCATTTCAAAGCAATCTAATAATTGATGTTATAAGCCAAGTTTATGTACAAATGGCATGTCCAGTCAATGTAGGACATGAATCATTGTACACCAAACTGTTTATCTGTTTTATGATAAATTGTGTAGTGCACATCTTGCTTAAATGTAGGAGATAACATTGATTGATCAGTTGAACAATACCAATGAAAGTATTGTTAAAAGTTTTAGGGTGTAGTCCAAGTAGTGTATGTATAAACACCGAAGAGTTGCAAGGCAACACCTTTCCTTCAGCTCTTAAGATGCTGGAGTTCTTGATCAGTTTTCGAAGGAAAAATTAAGGAAAAAAAATAGTAGTTTTTTTATTTTAAAGGACACTTGTTGAGGCCAACAATCCTACTCTTTCAGTATGGTAATGACTAGAGATGGATGTAGTCTAGAGGGGAAAAAAAGTGAGAATTTGTTAGCTAAGCCTAGTCCCTAGGCATTTGCTTGTGAAATTATGTAATTATTACAATTTTATAATTACAGTTTTTAGTAAGGGGACAGTAAAATGCTTTCCTGTTTTCAGGTGGCTTATTTTACATTTTTACAAGGGAGGCATATGCATTCTATATTACTGATCTAATGCTGATTTTTCCATCAGTCTATCTTGTTTCAGAATTTTGAAGTTGCAGAGTTATAAAAAATCAGTAATATGTTTGAAGGTAATTTAAATACCACAGATATTAATTTCTGAAATATATTTTACATTCTAATTATTGTGTCATTATATTTAAGTGGGGTATCTGAGGCATACCAGCAATCAATATATATTGACTATTTGTTTCATCAGCAAATAAAAAGTGGGTTTTTTCTAAAACTTTCTCATGCCTCAAAGCATTAACAAAGTTTCTGACTGGATGTACAGACCCTGAATTGCTAACCAAATCCTTTACGCTATACAACCAGTCAAACACAGCAGAGTGAAATGTATCTTGAGTTTCTGTAGACTTGGAGAACTCTAAGATGGTGTAGTTGGAAACTCAGCGAATTGACTGGATAGGGAAAGCAAGTTCACTGTATGATATTTATTTCTTAAGGAGAAATCTACAGCATTTAATAGTAGTATGTTACTACCAATAGTACTCTGCCATTATGAAAACTGGTCCAAGTTTTGTGATTTTCCACTGTGCTTTTACATCAGCTAGTATGTTGTGTGGTTTTGTTTAGGTATACAAAATGTTGTGAAATTAAGATGATCGAAAATACTTATTTTTTACTCATACATTTATTGGTTGGTTTGCTGGGGGGGTTTCCAGACAATAATAATCCTTTTTGACCAAAATTATACCTTTCCTAGGTTTAGTCCTGTTTCTGGGACAGCTGTTGCTGATGACAGAATTTTTGTGTAACAGTTCTTTTAAAGTAATTGTAAAATGCATAATAATTGGTCCTTTACAAATATTTAGCTTGAGTGTGATTCCTTATAAATTACAAATAAACAATGTGATTAAAAGTTAAATTTTCAAAAATACAAAAGCTTGCATACAGTACTAATGCTGCATTTGTACTGGAGAAAATGGATCAGCTATACTGATGGAAGAAATTAGCAGGCTTTTAGACTAGCAAGGTAGAAATCATGCAGGTAGTTCTTGGTTGCCAGGTTTAAACCACAACTGTTTATAGATTCTGTAGTAATTTTGGAACTGATATATATATATTAATCCATTTTGAAGCACCTGGTTTATTCTCTTTAATTTCTCTTTTCCCAGCACAAATGAAGATCATTTCAATGTTAACATTCAGCCTCCTGTTGGAGAACTGCTTTTGCCTGTCACTATGTCAGAGAAAGACTTTAAGAAGGAGCAAGGTGAGAAATAATTAAACAGCTTCAGTAAATGTATTTGGATGAGGAGAGGACTGTGTACCTTTCAATTTCCAAGCATACAGCAAGTGCTTCCAGCGTAGTTGTTCATGTTAGTCTCTGGTATTATTCAGTCTGATACTAATGACTTAATTTAAAAATATTTTTAAAAGGATGGTGCAGTAGTATTTGACAGCTTTTCAGTGTACCTTTAAAAGCACAAAGCCCACGCTTTAACATGAAACAGTTGGCTCAAAGAGTTTTGGCTTCCGATCATGAAGTGTGAATGTCTTTCCTACTAACCGTAACGCAAAAAGTTGCAACCCCAGTTTAAGGAAATAAATCAAATATGCACTAGTATGGTGTTTTCCTTACTAGACTTTATTCCAAGGCTGCTTTTAAGTACTTCTAGTGTACCTGTTTCTCAGCTACTATGAAGGTGATTTTAATCTCTTTTCTTTCAGACACTTGATATACAAAAAAATACTGTTCTTGGAATACTGTTTCAGAAAGATGACATGTTTTATATACTTCTGCATTATTCTAATGTTGTCTTTAAAGAATTTAAGTTTCTGATACTGGTCCAAACACAACCCTCCATAAGACCTTTTAGTGACTTGAATATTTTATAGAAAATAGTTAGAGAAAATTGTACTTACGTGTTAAATGGAATAGTCCATACTGCTACCCTTAATTTGTATATGATTCATGGATTTTTTAAAATATAACCAACTGCATTTTGGACACATTCAAATGTAATAGTGTTTACTCATCTATCTCAGTGTATGGGGATTTACATGTGTAAATCTCTTCACACTGAGATGAGAATATACCCATGGGATCCCATCTCATTGCTGTGTAAGGCTCAGAAACTCAGTATATCCATCAAGCAGTCAAGAACACCAATGAGTTATGCTATGTATTATTAATTATTGCTTTGGGGCATTTCTTGCTTTTGTATTTTTGAATGGTTAAGGAAGTAGTTTAAATATTGCCTAGATAATTTTTAGTGAAGCTTATGGCTGCAGTGAAAAGTTAGAATTGTGCTTTGCTTTCTTAACCAATTGATACTTATTTGCTGTTCTTACCCTTTGCTGGCTAAAGCCTGCCTCTCTGCTTTTATACCTGCTCAGCAAACCAAGGTGAGTGATTGAATGAGGCTGTGGCACATTTATTTTATACTGTTCCTTCTTAAAATTGTACCTGAGGTTGTAGTGAAAGGAAGGCAAGTTACTGGGCTTCTTCCCTCCCTGTTTTTGTATTTGCTCGCTTTGTGATATTTTGATAGAGTTTTTGTATGTTTTGCTGTGACTGAGGGCTTTTTTTCCTCCTGACTGGCCATACAGAACCACGAGCACATAGAAGAAGTGTACTCGGAGAATAGCTGTGGTCCTCTGTGGAGTTGTTGCCAAAATTCCTTTTTCTTCTGCCATTTTACTTCTATGGTTGTTGATTATTTGTCTGAATAAATCTGGCAGCTGTTTGCTATGTTTAATAGAGCAGAAAGGCTACTCTGAATAAAGCTATTTGAAAATTTGTTTATATGAAGTATTTGTAAATCCATGAAGGTCTCTTGGCGTTTCTGTATCGCTCGCTCTGTCTTCCTGAATTCATTCTTTGATGCAGGACTTGATGCTGGCAAATTTACCACAGGTTTAAAAACGTTTTCTATTTCATCTTTTTTCTTATAGATATCAGCTGTTTCTGAATAGTCATGGTAAATAGAGGTCTCAGTTCTAAATTTTACATAAGTATTTATTTCAGATATCTAGGAGCAGCTAGCATTTGCTGTGAATTACAACGTGATCTTGCTGAATGAAAAATACAAATTACAGTAATAAATGCAGGGCAATTTAGAAGTTTGTATGTATTATTCTGTTTGATGTTTAACTTCACTTTGTCTGTATCCCCCAAATGAATCTGATTTACATAACTTAGTTTTCACTTGTCACGCTTTTTCATTTTATTTCTTTTTCGTGTGTGAACATGTTTCAAGTCTCGTACCTGAAGATGCCTTATTTTATCTGCAACCAAAGTAAATAGGTAAAAAATAGTGAAAGAGGGAGGAGAACATTAGAAATGCAAGATTATATTGTGGGGGAATGAAAATATCTGTGAGGTTTAAGGATTTTTACATCTAAATTGCATGTGTAGCCTAATAAGAATGCTAAAGAGGAAAATAGCTGGTGTTATGCTGCGCTGTAGAAGACAATTCATTGCTACACATCTTTACTCAATTCCACTCCACTGTTTTGCATTGTCTGTTGCATTTGTATATGTACATTTTCTTCCTGATGGCATGAGGAGAGGGAAACAGATTACTGAATATTCATGGATGTGAAGGTTATCTAGTGATAGTGGCAGAACCTCGAAAGCTGAATTTATCCACATGCTGAGCGAGATATGCTTAGCCTTGCTACACCGTTTCCCCCTTCCTTCCTTCCTGAGCTGGGGAATCCTCCAGTGAGGTAATTCCCCAGAGCTGCAGCTGAGTTAGCGTTTGATGTTGTGATTGACAGTTTGGAAGCAGCGGATCAAAATGATATTGCCAAACTACTCGTTACCTTTCAGGTTAAATATTTTTACTGATCTTCAGGCCTCAGGATTTTATACCCTGGGAAAAGCTTCTGCAGCAGTAATTCTGCATGAGTGAGACATGTACAGTTGGGAACTCTATCCAAATTTTTACTTGCCTGCTGTTTTTAAAAACTGGTAGCAAAACTCCCCTTGCCTTAGTTCAGGATAGAACTAGTCTGGTAGCTATCACAGCTTGTTACCTACCCGTGTAGTTTTTCCATGATCATTTGCCTTTATTATTAAAAATATGTACAGTTATTTCACTGTATCATTTTGTTAACCCAGATTAATTGCTCTGACTAGATTTTTCTTAGATTGTCATGTTTCAAGCAATATTAAAGGTGGCATGCAATTGTTATAACTAGATATTAATCAGGATTTTTATAAAGGTGTTTTTAAAATAGCTGGTTAAAACTACTTGAAGTAAAAAGCCTCCCCCCCCGCCCCGGACATGTTTTTTTTAAAAAAAAATTACACAATTATTTTAAGTGTATGCCTAGTTAATATTTTAAAAATAAAATTAAAAAATAAAAAACAGAAACCAAACACCTTGGTTAAGTAAACAAATCGTCTACCTAATTTTATTAAGATTTGTATATCCAACTTGTCTTCTTAGGGAAGAAAAATACTAATTCTTTAAATGGTTGGACATTTACTATTTTCTGGCCCTTGACTACCACGAGCAATCATATTTGATGCCCCTTAATTAGAGCACCCTTTTTTCTTCCCAGGTTCTTTTCCACCTCAGCAATCGAGACAATACATTTGCTTACCATGCTGCTCTCCTAAGTGTTCTTTTGCATGTAAATTAATCTTGATTCAGTTTACACTGTCATGCTGAGTGGTACAAATTGCCTATAACAATAAAACAGCATGAGTTAAAAATAAAGGGGGGTGAAAAGGCAGATTGAATGTGTGCCTTACTTGATAGGATGTTACTTTGCTTTATGCCAATACATTAGTCGACGATAATGAATCTTCTGTTCTGAAAAGCATGGTTTAGTTGATTTTTTTAATTTTACTTCAATGGAGCAGTACCTTGTCTTTTATAGAACAAGTTAGACAAACCATTAATGACAAGAGTGTTAAGGTTAAATATGAAGCAATGCATTCACTTCTCTGAGTGCTATCCATCTTTCCATTTACAGGAGCTTGACAAAAGTACTAGCTTTGTACAACATTTCCTTTAATTACATGCTGAGGGAAACAGGCTTTTAACATAAACATAGTTGCATTCATTTATTCAGCGTTTGCTCTTCAATAGAGCTTAATGGAGAAGGTTTAAATCCTAAATGAGTACACACATCTCTCAGCAGTGTTATGTCAGTCCCTATGCTCTGCTTAAAAGCAGTTTCAGTCTATGTATGTAGTTTTTCAAGCTTTTGCCTAATAGTGAAGTTAAACAATTTGAAACAGCATGTTCTATTTCCAAGATAAAGCTGATTTCAATAAAAGTTGTATTTTTATTTTTGTTCTCTTCAAGATGAGATCATGTTCAAAAATATCCCGTTATTTACTTCTAAGCTGTTACATTTTTACTTTGATATTTCCTATTTTCACAGTAGCTAATGTACATTCTAGTACATTGAAATGCTGGATTTATTTTTTTAATTGCTCTATTAAGCATCTTAGTACCATTTGCTCTGGACTAGAACTGTATGTGCAGCCCCAACAAATTAGCCTTTTGAGATTTTTTCATTGTTTTCATTGTTAATGTTATCATGGATTTCAGATGCTTCTTATTTCTGTTAGAGTACTGTGCCTCATTGTTTGTCTGCATTTTCACCTTCTGAACATAGTGTAAAAATAGATACACAGCATGAAGTTATAGTTACTGTTGGGTTTTTAATCAACACGAGTGTCCAGCAAATCGTTCTTCTGAACAATGGATGTTGATAGAGAAGTGGGGGGGTTTTGTTAAAATGTCCTTGAACATTTTCTTCTTTACTTTTTTTGTCATATGTTTGGATATAATCCTGATATTTCTGTTCCATTTTGCAGTGTTTTTAAATTATTTTAATCAAATAGTTTATCATGACATTTTAGAGAGATGGATACTAGCTGAATTTCCCAGTTTCTAATGTGATGACTTTATCTTCATGAACTAAATTGAACCAATGACTACCATGTGAATTTCAAGACCATTTTTAGCAATTGGATATGAAATTATAATTAAATGCAGTGGATTTATGATTGAAAGATTGGAATATGTCTTTGTGTATGATCTTATTTAAGCTGGACTTTCCCAAATAAGTCTTACTTAATATTTAATTTCTGTGTTTACATTCTTATTTAAGTGAAGAACTGTCTTGGTTTCACAGTTGCAGTAGTATCACACATATCATTTTTCAGTTATTAGTAATTTGTTTCTAGTAATAGGGCATTGCAAGTAATACATTTAATGTAATGTATTTTCTTATAAAATTGTTTTCTCAACAAATTATTTAATTTTTAATGCACATGTGTTTTTTTTGTTTCTAAGTCTCTTATTTTGGTTTTATGCTTAATAAGCAAGCAAATCTTAAACTGTTCATAATGAAATACTTAATGTTTCAGGGATGCTGACAGGAATGAATGAGACATCTGCTACAATAGCTGTTGCTCCACAGAGCTCTACTAGACTCGTAATAATCGAGAGGGTAGTGAAGGCAGCAAACCTTGGTGTCGTCCCTTCTGGTGAAGATAACATACACAGGTAAGATAACATGTCGTTCATAGTAGACTATCTTTTGATATGTATTTTTTAGTTCAAAATTAGTCACCAGCTGATACTAGGGAAAATTCTATTATCCACGCCTTTAATGGGTAAGATACCAAATTATACTGTAACATAGAATCCTAAGCAGGTATTAACTTGAGCCTAAGTACTCTTCAGCTCTTTATTTGAATGTATATTAATAAAATCAAATATCTAATCTTTGCTGTACATAGTTAGGGGGAGTTGTCCTTTCCTATTTTTCTTTCAAAGGGAAAAGGTAGTCTTTTAAAGTACCATACTTTCATGAGCATTAGTATCTGTTTCCAAAAGTGGCCTTTTTCAGGTTTGTCATCTGTGAGAAGCAGCTTGGTTTTCACACATTGAATTTTGACCTGTGATATCCGGATAGCTAAACATAAAATCACATTTCTTATTTTCAGTTGTATGAAGATCTTTTTAAATGCAGGTTGGACGTTTACTTGTCCATCCTAAATTTATGCAAGAAAAAACAGTTATCTGCAAAGGAAGTCATTGAACCTGTCTGAATTCCAGGTGTTAACCTGTGGAACAGTCCATTTCATCCAAAAGCTGTGATACAGACTGTCAGTGGAATTGACATGATTGTCAGTTAATGACAGCTTATAATGTGATTGACTCAAAATATTTTAAATCATGAATCTGTTTGGCTTCTCACTTGGGAGAGGAACAAACTGGGAAATTGCCACATGTGGAAAACTGGCTGGACGCAAACAGCAGCAAGACATAATTGGGAGCTGTTAACCTGGTCTTGGAATACAAAAATGCTTACTATGCGTACTTCTCTCTTCACATCTACTAAAACTGTTCTGGTGTGAATTATTTCTTTAACCCCCTGAGTTTTGCCATTTCAATAGGAGCAAAGTACCTTCTTTTAAAGCAAAAAGCATTTACTTGAAATTTCGCTCTTTGGAATGGTGAGAATCCTGTAGCCTATACAGGACTAAATAACCTGGTATTTCTCTTTGCTGAATTTAGTCTTTTTTGCATCACTGCACATTGTATTGCATTGCATTAAAATTAACCCAGACGGATTTTCTTATGTATTTGATATGGTCAATGATAAAATTCTGTTTCACCATAAAAACATGGTACAGCTAGTGCAATTGCACTGAAATGATTGTCACTATTGACACCTGCTCCTCCATGGAAGAGTCCTCATTTGTTGCATCCCTGAGGGATCTATACAGCCTGCGTTCTCAACATCAATTGAAAGACTAGGTGAGAGTGTCAATCAAGAGAGACTGAAGTGTCTGCAGTGTACAGGTGTTCTCCTTCTTTACCCTATCCATCACAGGAGACTTAGCACATAGGGATGGATTGTTTTGTGACTCATTCTCAGAAAGGCTCCCAGAAATAATAGCTTAGTTCATAGCTCAGCCACAGGTTTCCTGATTGTAGATAAGTTTCTAATTTGATCTTACTTTCTCTTGCTCTTTTTTTTTTTTTTTTTTTTTTAAGTTTTCTGCAAAACGGTCTATGACCAACAGTAAGTAAATTTAAGATGTTCTTCCTGTTGGGTACACTACATCAGAGATGTTTGAAGGCAGTTCTGGTCAGGCTGAAGTATTGAGAGTGCTTTACAGCATCCTAAAATTATTTTTTTTTTTTTTCATTCAAAATAGAATTAATTCAGTCTGCCATGGTAGCTACAAGAACAGCTTACATTTGTAATGAACATCAGGCCCAAAAGCTTGTTTATAACTACTTAAATGGCCTACCAGAAATGCCTAGCAATGATAAGCATTTAGAACGTAGCCTTTCATTTGCTTCATCATAAGTAACTGGAGTTCACTGATACTATGTAGTCATAATTACACTGGGTTTTTATTGAGAACAGGAGTGGGAACACTAACGGATACTGTGGTGAACCTGTTCATCTTTTAAATAGTGCTACATTATCATTAAAGTAAATCCTACATTTATTTGATTGAATATTTGAGATAGATACTAGATAATGAATACTTTCAAAACCCTGAAACAAATGAGTGAAATATTTATATATGTATATAAATATAATATTTTATATATGCATATATATATGTTATGTATACATACTTGTATTAAATCAGTTCTGCCATGAGAGTAAACAAAAATGGAGCTGCTGCTTGCAAAATCTCAAGGATGAAAGAAGTCTGTGATGTTTTATTTATGTGGCATATACACCATTTCAGGGTGATAAAATAAATAGTTACTTTTTACCTCGACAAAGCACTTATGCATTCAGTAAAAATATGTTAATTTTTTTCTATAGTTTTATTGTTGGACTTGTTTTATTGCAAGTGGTATTTGGGGAAAAAATATATACATGAACCTGTTTCCCCTCATCTTGCTGTTGTGTGAGAACTACTTGGCTTCACTTCTTGGAATTGCTTAGTACATACCATTTTACACAGGAAAAGATGTACTATTTTTCAACTGACTTTCTGCAGTGTGCAGCATGAATTGTATTAACCTCTTAGCTGCTCATCCTCAACTTGAGTATTACTACTTAATGACAGATAATGCTAAGAAATTTATATTGCCTGGTAATGCAATATACTCATTGAAATGAAATTATATAGTTTAATACAGGTGTATCTAATGGACATGAACAGGTGCATATTTCTTCTTTTTTTTTTCTTTTTCAGTCTAAATATACTTGCAGTCATGATGAAGATGTTTTGCTGGTGGGACCCAATTACTGCTCCTTAAATTGATAACCCTATTTAGGACTGTATTTTTGCACCAAGAAGAAAACACTTAGAGCAAATACAATCAAGATTTGAAAATAATTATTCGAAACAAATATCCACAGAATAGCATGCAGTCTCCACTGCAAAATGAAATATATGTAAACCTGTCAAATAAATTAGCTATATATCAGTCTGTATCGCACAACAGCAACACTTTCTTACATGATTTTTTTTCTCTCTTATCATATGGCTGCTGGATTTTTATATTTACTTGAAACAAGATGCCAGATAATACAGTTGATCCTATTTTAACTCTTTTCTTACCTGTACAATTTTACTTTACTTTAGCTCTACAAATTTGCTTAAGTGTAGTCACCTGCTCTTCAAACAAGTTTATGCAAACTATTACTGGGCCATGTAAGGCTGCATGTGGTGAATTCTCATGTTCTTGACAGGATTAAACTATTTTATGTATTGATCTCTCTTGCTTTTGTTATCAAGGGGAAACATTTTTTCAATTTTAAAGACTTTTACTAAAAGCAAGAATGATAAATGCATTTCATTTTTTTAGCAGGGAATGTGGTATCTCCTTGAATATGAAAATGCTAGAAAAAAAGTCTGTTATTTTTCTTAAAATATTTTTTCCAAAGTCATTACGGTATTTGTTGCAATATACATATCTCACTTAATATTCTGAGAACTGTTGTTACTTTTTTAAATGAAGAGTTGGAAGTGGGTGTAGGAGTGCGTAGATGTTGACAAAATGATTTCAGAAGGAATCAACTAAGACACCAAGCTTCTGTCTTGTAGTTCAGACCACATCTGTTGAATATTTAAAGACAAGGAAGTTGAAAGAAAAGTATTTGTTCCTGCAAGGAGTTAAATCGGTCTGAATAACTACATTTAGGGACCAGATGCTTTTCAGTTGATGTCTGCTCTTTGCTGACGGTGGAAAAGGTCTTCTTCAAGAAGGGATGGGGAAGGTATTCTTCAAGAGAATACATAATTGAGGACATTTACTTCCTCAAAGTTGATTCTTCTATGGAACGTCACTTCAGCTCCCTGTCTCTACTTGGGCAATAACATTCATTGCTTTATGTATAAAAAAATTAATTCTAGGCTGTTCTCTTTTACTTCAAAATGGAATGAGATGAAATCAGAGGTCCAGATTTTCGGTAATTTTCTCCTTAACTAACATGAGCCTTATTTATCCAGAAATGCCTTTATTGCTAACATTACTTTCAAGATGATGTGCTTATTCCTCTCAGATGAATATCCTAAAAGCTCCTCAGGTCTCTTGCTCCTTTATTCATTTTCAACTGCGTAACCTTCTACCAGGATAGGTAATCTTCATTTTCTTTACTTTGATATATAGCAAAAGACAACAGATGATAGAATGAAAAGACTAGTTGCAGAGATGGCTTTAGTCTAAAAGAGACTTGAATGCTCTTGCGATCCCCTTGAAAATGTCAAAATGTTGTCTACTATTACGTAAGGCCCTCTGCATGAAGGAGAGGCATTTTGGCTTAGAAAGAAAATAATGGAAATACACATAGAAAGCGTGTATTTCCAATACCTACAAAATACAGTGCAGAAGCTTTTAATGTCCTTGCAGTAGCATATAGCAGAAAAATTTGTTCAGACCTGGGATCACAAAATGGATTTGCTTCTTCTTTCACTTTTCGTTATGCTTGTGCGATTCCGTTGACATGAGAATATAATGTGTAATTGGATGGACAATTAGGCCATCTTTATCTGCCTACTCTCTGCCTTCCATTTCCTGAAGCATTTCTTAAATGGGATGCATTGTACTCTGGATGATTATTTCAGTGACTGCGGCTCTGCAAAATGATGCAAGTTACAGCACTTTTTCCACGTTTTTCATTCTTGAAGACTTTACTTGCACGTTTTGTAATCGGTCCATGAGATGAAAGTCTGAACACATCAGGATAGATATGAAGAATGAATTTTAGTCAAGCTCAACTCATTTGCTAGCCCATTGAACTAGTCTCTTGCTGCTGTTGTATTTTGGAAGGAATCCACAATTAGTAACAGGAAATAGTTGAGTTAGAAAGTGAGCATGGTGTCATCGACGTATGTCTTTTCTGTAAGTTCATGAGGATGGCCAGAACCATTGACTAGTATTAAATTCTGTCCTGTAATTTGAGATGATGGAGTCTGTAAATTCAAGAACCCGATATGGGACAATCTGAGGTTTTGTAAAAACTTAAGCCTCAGCTTCTTTGAGTGCAGAAGCCTTAATCTGCTTCAGAACATCCATTTCAC